ACAGACTTAAATCTATGACATGAAACCATAAGAATTCTACAAGAATATGTTGAAAAAACTCTTCTTGATATAGCCTAGACAAAGAATCTATGGAGAAGACCCAAAGGGCAATCACAGCAACAACAAAAATAAATAAATGGGACTTGATTAAATTAAAAAGCTTCTGCAAAGCCAAGGAAACAATCAACAGAACAAATAGATAACCTACAGAATGGGAGAAAATATTTGCATGCTATATATCCCATAAAGGACTAATAACCAGAATCTACCAAGAACTCAAGCAAACCACCAAGAAAAAAATCAAAGAACCCCATTAAAAAGTGGGCAAAAGACAGGAACAGAAGCTTTTCAAAAGAAGAGTAACAGCCTATAAACATATCAAAAAATGCTCAACGTCACTAATCATCAGAGAAATGCAAATCAAAACCACAATGAGGTATCACCTAACCCCAGTGAGAATGGCTTTTATTAGAAAGTCTCAAAACAGTAGATGCTGGCATGGATGCAGAGAGAAAGGAACACTTATACACTGCTGGTGGGACTGCAAACTACTGCAACCTCTATGGAAAATAGTATGGAGATTCCTCAAAGAACTAAAAGAAACCTACCATTTGACCCAGTAATCCCACTACTGGGTATTTACCCAAAGGAAAAAAAGTTATTTTATCAAAAAGACACTTGTACTAGAATGTTTACTGCAGCACAATTCACAATTGCCAAGATGTGAAATCAATGCAAGTACCCATCAATTCATGAGTGGATTAATAAAATGTAGTATATGTATACCATGAAGTACTACTCAGCCATAAAAAAACAACAAATTAATACTTTTTGCAACAATCTGGATGGAACTGGAGACCATTCTCCTTAGTGAAGTATCACAAGAACGGAAAAACAAATACCACATGCACTATTAAACTGGAACTAACTGATCAGCACTCATGTGCACACATCGAAGTAAAACTCAACAGAAATCAAGCAGGTGGGAGGGGAAGGGTGAAATCATACTTAATGGGTACAATGCACACTATCTGGATGATGGGCACACTTATAACTTTGATTCAAGCAGTACAAAAGCAATTCATGTAACCAAAACAATTGTAACCCCACAATATTCTGAAATTAAAAAGAAAAAATAAACAATGCTTAGTATCGCTAATCATCAGGAAAATGCAAATTAAAACAACAATGACATACCACTTTACCCAGTCAAAATGGCCATTATTAAAAAGTCAAAAACCAATAGATGTTGACACTGGATGCGGTGAAAAGGGAACACTTAAATGTTATTGGTGGGAATGTAAATTAGCACAATCTCTATGTTAAACAGTATAGAGATTTCTGAAAGAACTAAAAGTAGATCTACCATTTGATCCAGCAATCCCACTACTTGGATTAAAGTATGAGAAAAATTGGTCACCAAAGTAAGACTATCAATAAACAGATTAAAATTATTAAAAGGAGCAAAAGAGAAATTTTGGTGTTGAAAAGTACAATAACTGAAATAAAAACATTCACCAGAGGGGCTCAACAGCAGATTTGAGCAGGAAAAGAAAGAATCGGTATACCTGATGAAATTTTGAGGAATTATCAGGTCTGAGGGATAGAAAGAAAAGAGAATGAAGAAAAACGAACAAATCCTCAGAGACTTCTGGGAATCATCAAGCAACACCGACACATGCATGACGGAAGTGCCAGAGGGTGGGGGAGAAGGGAAGAGAGAGTGGAGACAGGAGAGAGGGAGAAGGAATATTTGAAGAAATAATGGTCAAAACTTCTAAAATTTGAAGCTCAATGAACTTATAGCATCACTAGTAGCACTTTGTATAGGTCCCATGGTGTTATTCAAAGTTTATGCTATTGCACTAAACACAATGAAAAATACACAAGAACTGCGAGAGATCACGATGTACTGGAGAGACAAACTACTGACACGCATATGATTATTGTCACATGGTATTTTCACTTGAGCTCACTACAGTAGCAACAGAAGGTGGTACAAATTATTATAGCAATATAGTATGCACTATAGTCAATTTTATGGAGTCATGATTTGATACTATATCTTTACATTTCTTTGCATTTCTCTCAACTGTGAATGGCACTATTATGGTCTATAAGAGTTTGTGTGTACCAGTTTCGATAACTTTTAACTTTTAATAACAGATTCCTATATTTTAGGGTAATAAATGATAAAGTAGACTAGTGTCTGCATATATTTTATGCATTCATGACATATCTTTTTCTTAATTTTTCACTATTTCTAGGCTTATGTGGTTTGTGAATTTTTCAAATTATCGCAGATCTCCAAAAAATCTTCTATGTATTTATTGAAAAAAATAAATATATAAGTGGACCTGTGACGCTCAAACCTATGCTGTTCATGGGTCAACTATATTCACTGAAGTTGAGCTATGATTTTGCAACTAAATTTCAAAAATAGAAATTTACACATATATGTAGTAAAAGACACATACAAGAGTATTCACAGGAAAATTACTCATTATAGATCCAAACTGGAAATACCCCACTTCTCCAACAAAAATAAATTATGCTATATTTATAAATAAACTTTTATACAGCAATGAAAATAAATGAATTACTGCTATATGCGATCATGGATAAATCTCACAAATATAATATCGAATAGAGGAAATCAGATGTAAAGAAGTACCTATGAAATATTTTCACTTATAAACTTCAGAAAGCAGGTAAAGCTACCTTTGGTATTAGAAGTCAGGACAGTCAACCTCTTTGTGGAGGAAAAGGAAGGTAGTGGCCAGGAGAAAGCACAGGGGAGGATTGTGGACACTGGCAATGGTCTAGTTCTTAATCTTAGCAGAGGAGTTCACTTCATGATAGTTAACTGAGCATCTATATAAGCATATCTCGAGATACTGCAGGTTCGGTTCTAGACCACCATAAATAAAGTGAATCACACAAATATTTTGGTCACTAGTGCATATAAAAGTTGCTATCACACCATAGTGTAGTCTATTAATGGTACAATAGCATTTCATGTAAAAAATAGTGTACATACCTTAATTTCAAAATATTGCTAAAAAAAAAAAAAAAAAAGAAAGTGAAAAATCGACTGAGTCTTCCACAAATCTTTTTGCTGGTGGAAGGTCTTGCCTCGATGCTCATGGCTACTGACTGATCAAGGTGGTGGTTGCTGAGGTTGGGGTGAGGTGGCAATTTCTTAACATAAGACAACAATGAAATCTGTGACATCAATTGACTCTTCCTTTCATGAAAGACTTCTCTGTAGCGTGTGGTGCTGTTTGACAGCATTTTATCCACAGTACAACTTCTTTCAAAATTGGAGTCAATTCTCTCAAACCCTGTCACTGTTTTATTTTATGGAATATTTTAAATCCTCGGTTGTCAATTCAACAATATTCCTAAGAAGCGACTCTTCATCCATTCAAGTCTGATCACACGACTGCAGCGGTTCAGTCACATCTTCAGGCTCCACTTCTAATCCTAGTTCTCTTGCTATTGCCACCACATCTGCAGTTACTTCCTCCACTGAAGTCTTGAAGTCCTCAGTCACCTACGAGGATTTGATTCGACTTCTTCCAAACTCCTGTTAATGTTGATATTTTGACCTGCTCGCCTTCATGAATCACAAATCATCTTCCCGACATCTAGAAGGATGAATCCTTTCCAGAAGGTTACCAACTTACTTTGCCAGGATCCATGAGAGGAATCATTCTTTATGGAAGCTACAGATTATGAAATGTTTCTTAAATAATAAGACTTGAAAGTTGAAATGACTCCTCAACCCATAGAATGGAGGAGGGATGTTGTGTTCATGAGCATGAAAACAACATTAATCTCCTGTACATAGCCATCAGAGCTCTTGGGTGACCAGGCAGATTGTCATGAACGGTGACATTGTGAGAGGAATCTTTTTATTCTGAGCAGTAGGTCTCAACACTGGGTTTAAATACTCAGTAAACCATGCTGTAAACAGATGTGTTGTCATCCAGACTTTGTTGTTTCATTTATCAAGCACAGGCAGAGTACAGTTAGCACAATTCTTAAGAGTCCTAGGATTTTTGGAATGGTAAATGAGCATTGGCTTCAATTTTAAGTCACCAGCTACATTAGCCCCTAATAAGAAAGTCAGCCTGTCCTTTGAAGTCAGGCCTTGACTTCTCCTCCCTAGCTCTGAAAGTCCTCGATGTCATCTTCATCCAACAGAAAGCTGTTTCATCTACAACGAAAATCTGTTGTTTAGTCTAGCCACCTTCATCAATCATCTTAGCTAGATCTTGGTAACCTGCTGCAGTTTCTCCACCAGCACCTTGCTGTTTCACCTCGCACTTTCATGTTATGGAGACAGGTTCTTTCCTTAAACCTCGTGAACCAACCTCTGCTAGCTTCCAACTTTTCTTCTGCCACTTCCTCACCTCTCTCAGCCTTCATAGAATTGAACAGAGTTAGGGCCTTGCCTTGAATTAGGCTTTGGCATAAGGGAATGTTCTGTCTGGTTTGATCTCGTATCTAGACCACTCAGACTTTCTCCATATCAGCAATGAGGCTGTTTTGCTTTCACATCATTCATGTGCTCACTGGAGTAGCACCTTTTTAATTTCCTTTAAGATTGTTTCCTCTGCATTTGCAACTTGGCTATTTGGCATAAGAGGCCTAGCTTTCACCCTATCACAGCTTTCAACATGCCTTCCTCACTAACTTTAATCATTAGCTTGAAATATCGTGATAATTATCAAAATGTTACATAGAGACACAAAGTGAGCACATGCCATTGAAAAATGGTGCCCAAAGACTTATTCAACCCAGGGTTGCCACAAAACTTCAATTTGTAAAAAGCACAATATTTGTTAAGCGCAATAAAGCAAAGCACAATACAGCAAGGTATGCCTGTATTTTACGTATTTTTATGTATGTGTTTTACTCAAAACAACTTTTAAAAAGTTTATTTACCTGTTTTTTCTGTGTTCTGTTCCTATTTTCCAGCCAATCATCCATTTGTTCCTCAATTTCTTCTATGGAAGTTCCATGATCGTAAGAGTGAATATATGTACTTTCTAACGGTGTGTATACAGGAAATTCAGGTTTTGGTTTTTTAACTTTCTTCTGTTCTAAAAAATGTTTAAAAGAACCAGTTATTGAGATTTGTTAAGAATAAAAATGCAGAAAATTTATTTAATTTATAGACCATATCTTGAAAGAACACAGAAATTTTTAATTTTCAATTTTTTTTACCTGTACAAGGTATTTTACATGTATCAACTCTAATTTTATTAACAAACTTGTCAGGTGGGTATTATCACCCTACATATTACATATTCATTCATTCAGTCACCAAATATTTGAATGTCTAATGCAGGTCAAGCATTCTTTTAGCTACTGAGGCTCAGCTATAAAAGAATAAACTCCCTATTCTCATTAAGAATAAGGAAGTATAAGACTGGTAAAAGGAAATGGAGTAACTGTATGTGGAAAGGGGATGAGGGAACTTCTCTCTTCTATGTATTTATAGAGGATGATTATAACATTGGGGCAGAGAACAGATGGAAGTGAAGAAGCAATCCTGTGGTTCTCCAGGGTGGGGAGGAGCAGTACAGGCATATTATGCAAAAAGTATAAGGGCCCTGAGATGGGAGTTTGCTTAGTGAATTAAAGGAACTACAGGGAGACCAGTCTGGCTGCAGTGGAGGGGTGGGTTGGAGAGAAGCAGAGAGTGGTGGGAGTTGAGATCAGCAGTGGCTACAGCAAGGACTTTGGATTTGACATTTAATCCTACTTTTATCACATAATAGTTATATAATATCGGGCAAGTAACTTAACACTTTGGACAGTGTCCATTTTCTCATCTGCGAAAAAAAAAAATTAGCTCTCAATAAATGGTATTATCTTCACCACCCTGTGTATATGTGTATGTTTGCATGTACTATAATGCCAATGTAATAAAAATCAATATGGTATTGGCATAAGAATAGACAAATTCCTAGCCAAGAACAGAGAATTCATAAATACAGATGTTCATCAACTTACAATGGGGTTACATCCTGATAAACCTATTATAAGTTGATAATATTGTTAAGGTGAAAATGCACTTGATATACCTAACCTACTGAATATCATGGCTTAGCCTAGCCTACCTTAAACGTGATCAGAATGCTTACATTAGCCTACAGTTGGGCAAAATCCTCTGGTAACACAGTACACCGTACAGTATTAGCTGCTTATCCTCGTGATCACGTGGCTTACTGAGAGCTGTGGAGTGCTAATGCTGCCTAGCATAGCGAGAGAGCTTCTTACCACAGATCACACATCACTAGCCCGGGAAAAGATTCAAAATTCAAACCACAATATTGCTGTATTTCTATATTTCAATTCATTGGGAAAAGGATTTAATAAATGATGCTGGCACAACTGAATATCCATTTGAAAGAAAAGTGGACGCAATCTTATACCATATACGAAAATAAATTCCAGCTGGATAAGAGAATTGACTTTAAAAACCAAAACAATAAAAATGTTACAAAAAGAAATCTAAAAAACTACATATACTATTTAAATGAAGAGAAAATCTTAACTAAGACTGAAACCCAGATGCTACAAAAAGATAAAAGATAAATCAAGGGACGAATAATAGATTTGGAAAGACTATCTTTAATTCAGAGGTCAAACAGAAGATTGATATAAAGGGATTTTATAGATTAACAAGAAGATAAGCAACTAATAGAGAAAAGTAGGCAAAGGTCACGAATAGGCAATCCACAAATGAACAAATCCACATGGCCAAGAAACAAGAAGAGATATTCATACTCTGTAAAGGTTAAAGAAATGCAAATTCAAGTAATACCAATATATGATTTTATACCTACCATATGGGTCAAAATTTAAAAATCTAATAAGATGTACTGTTGGCAGGAAAAGGGCTATCTCTAAATTGCTGGTGGAAATGTGAATTATTCTATTACAGCCTTTTTGAAAAACAGTCTAAGAATATCTATTAAAATTAAAATATATAACCTTTTCCCCAGCCACTTCCCCAGAAATAAAAGCATTAGAATGTAACTGTATGTGTATACGTATGTTTGTGTGCATATGACTATTTACTGTTTCTTCACAGAGATACAAAACCACTTATACAGCAAGTGCTAATAGGAGAAATGCCTGAATAATTATTAATGATGCATCCACACTGAAGAATATTAAGTTGCCACTGAAGTAGAGCTACAGCAATTGACTAACAGAGATTTCCATGAGTTTGAGTGACAAAAGAGGCAGAAAAGCATAGAGATTTCATATTTGTAAAACAAAATAATGCCCCTCTAAATCCCTATATATGCATGTGTATATAGTCATGTAAATATATTTGAATATGATTATACAGGCATGGAGAAAAATATGGGATGAAGGAGAGAGGGAGCGTAGAGATAAATAAAGGAAAAGAGAAGGAATATCACAGTAAAAAATAAATTATGTATATGAATATA